ATGCTAAAAGGAACTGGCAGCGAATCCAAGATCACTTCTTCTTTGCAACATTTCATCCACTTGAGGATTATAGTCTAGAGGCAAGTCCAAGACTATTGTCCATCACTGTATCTGTGTAGTTTTACAACTAGTTTTTTTTATTTTTGTATGATTTAACATAGGATGAATAATGATCAACTATTATTCATACAAAATTCTGAAAAATTGCTTCAACTAAATTGTGATATATTTTAGGCTGAGACTGCAATTAATTAATTAATTCTCTTAATTATTTCTGTGTTAAAAACCTGAGTCAAGTAAGAGGAGGTATGTGTGATGAATGTGCTTATCTGTGTGGGACTTAATTGGGTTTTGCTTCTGTGCCTGGAAAAGTTACTTTTAATAACTGAAGAGCATCTACTTAATCACATGTAGTTTGTTAGGATTCTTGAGACATCTGTTCTTAGGAGTAGCTTGAGGTTGCTTAACAAAATAATTTTCTTGTGAACAGGATACAATTACATAACTCTTAGAACATGTTTTTCAGCTGTCCTTTTTGTTATAGCTTAAATAACTGAGAGCTTAATAAACACTGAGGGAAGGCAGACAAAAATAAGGGTGCAGATAAAAATAAGAGAGGAGCTAGGCTGAAAATAGAAGTTAAACGTGAATGTGGAGAGAGGAACATGTTTTGACACAAACAGTGCTGTCTTTAAGAGAAGGAATTATTTTTTTTTTAACTGATATTCCTTAAATATGTTGGATATGACTTTGCAAAATCAGGAAGTTAAAATCCTGAACAAGTTAAGAAACAAAGCAAAATAAGGCTAATGCTTCTTAAGTATTTAACTGTGTTCAAGGTGCATCTTCAGCTTCATCTTGAGGGTACATTGGGATAAACAAAATGTCTGGATTTTAAACTCATCTTATGCAGCATTTCCCTTGGTGTGTGTTTGTTCCTCCTTGCTAAGTTGTGTTTACCTGCATCAGTACTGCCAAGTTGGATTTTACCATTAGATTGTAATGCTTTTGACTGTATTGCTTTTGACACATCAGTCCTCATTTTTCACTAGAAGGTCATAAGAGCATCTGAAAACCCTTCAGTGTTATGTGTAAAACATTTTCACAAAGCCTCTGTGCTGAGAAGCATAGCATTAGTTCTTTCCTGTTCTGAAATTCTAGAACAGCAATCAATGCAGATCCTTAAAAACAGTCTAATCAGATAGAGGCAGAGACTAAATTTATGAAAGCTTGAGATTGCACTGTATGTAAAGCAATTTGAGAGATACATCGAGTGCCAAGAGAAATACTAAAATTATAGAACTCTAGATGAAAGATGTGCATGATAAAATTACCAGATGTTAAGTGATTATATTTTTTTGCTTGCTGTAGGGATGCTTTTTTCTAATAGCACTTTGTTGCATTGCAGACAATATTTTACACTCTTCCCCGCCTCTCGGAGCTTGCTGAGGATGAATGGATCTCGCTCTCAAAGTTTGATAGATTCACTGACATTCCTTTGCCACCAACATTTCAGTGCTATCACTCTCGAGCAGAACTTCTTGATCTGAAACCAAGTGACTGGTCTCAGCAAGACATGGGTAAAACAGAGCTAATCTATATTAAATGTCATTATTTGTATGTAGTAGCTGTATACACCTGTCTTCAATCTGCTCTCTGTGGTTTTTGGCTGAAGTAGTCTTGTGTCCAAGCAAGCAGATAATATACCATAAACTAGATTACTACCATAAACCATCAGTAGATTACTAACAGTGTCTTCAGTATTGACATTTAGATGATCTTCTTTACTGAAGTAGTAGTTTCACTGCCACTTGCATATCCATATGAATAACGCTTGTTTTTATAGGTTCAAATACAGTTGAAACAGATGGCCAGACTGAATGGACTGATGTTCAGAAAAAGATAATACCCTGGAAGAACAGTACTCCTAGTTCAGACCTGGAAATTGTATTTCAGGATCGTGCTGCTAAACTGGGTAAATCAAACAGCAGACTGATTGTGGTAGCTTCACTTATTGATAAGCCTACCAATTTAGGAGGTAAGGTTGCTTGCCCACTTTTTAACTTCTATTTTTAGACTTTAGCGCCCACTTGGATAATAAGAATTAATTTTGTCTTATGTTGATAATTAGGATGTTATTTAAGTACTGCCTAGAGAAATAGATAATTATCCTGCAAAAGGTAAATGAAAAGAAATACTACGTGTTTCAGAAGAAGTGGTCTTACATTAAAAAAACCCAACTATTTACACAGAGCATGCGGTAATTAAATAGAACTTTGCTGTAAATCCTGCTCAGTTTCTTACTGGTTTTATATTCTTTGTCACAGCTGAGTTTTTCAACTGTATAGACCTACTGGTTTCTCATGACGTTTAGAAAGTGCCCATTCCTGATTGAAGTACTCCTCCACAGTATTGTGCATGCTGTGATATAATAAATCCTACAAATACTCTATTGCATTGTGCTCGCTGTTTTCAGCAGTTTAAAAAACTGCAGTGGGACTGCTGATGAAAAATTAGCCCACAAGCTGGTGCTGTCTGCATTGTAATGATGTAATATGTCTTCCTCTCAAGCCTGGTGCTGCGTGTGTCCATACAGCTCTACTGAGGTGTTTACACTGACCCCTTTGTGTAACTAGTATTGTAGAAGTGCATTGTCAGACATAGTGCTTTTATGAATTTCATCTTTCTGCTAAGTTACAGAACTATTCTGTAAATGGAAGATGATGTGACATGGAACAGATGTAAGAAGCACTTGAAAATAATTAAAAATAGGGGACTGAAGTAACCATTCCTCACAAAAGTCACTCTCATTCTTCTGTTTGTAGGTTTGTGCCGTACAAGTGAAATATTTGGGGCATCTGCACTAGTTGTTGGCAGCCTTCATTACATACAAGATAAGCAGTTTCAGCATCTTAGCGTTTCTGCAGAGCACTGGCTCCCCCTTGTTGAGGTAAAACATTTTAATAGATAAAAAGTGTGCATAATCCAGAATCCTAATTTTTTTCTCTCGCAAAATGAACTTTTTTATTGAACAGAAGCTCCTGCTGTTGTCTCTTGAGACTTCATCTTGAGAATTTTGGAATAAACTGTGGGTCAGCCTCATAAAAATAATTTTTAAAATACTTTTAATTTCTAATTGCTGTGATGAACTGATGATGTGAGCTGTCATTGTTCAATCTTACTCTGTTTTATAGTGGCGTGTTGAAATTATTTATTTATTTGATACTTATTTTATATTTATTTATAAATTTATTTTTATTTATAAAAGTTGAACAACACTTCCATCAACATCTATCTTGCTTGGTCTGTTGTTTCTGGTAACTTAGTGGGGATGATTGAGTTTGCCTGAAGCTAACCTGTGCCAAGCTTTTAGAACCTATGGTCTAGCTGATATATATGAGGGTTTCAACCTGTATGTTTAGTATTTGGTAGAAAAGATGGTTTTGATATTTTATAATAATTGTTTTTTTCAATGTCGGCTTTGTTTGTTGTTTGAAAAATTCCGTTCAAATTTTTAATTTTTTTCCAACCTTGTGTATTTTCAGGCTGTTAAGGTTTTTCTTCAGAACAAGATACTTGTGTGTTTTGCCTATATCAGAATACTGATGGACAGATGTTGTCATGCCTAGACTTTGTACAGAAGTGTACTGGTGATAGAGTTCCTGTTGCATGAAGAAATTGGCATGTGCTACAACTAAGCAGCTTAGTAGGGTGATGACAACTAAGAAATTCTTCACTGCGAGCTATCACAGTTTGTGTAATGCAGGCATGGAAGGCAACTCACCCTCAGTACCAGCTGTTCTGTTAGTTTGGGAAGATTCCAGGTTAAATAACAACTAGGCACCTTGTCCTTGTGCAAGAGTATTTCTTTTACATTCAGATGTATTCAGCTTTTACCTGTAAGAAGCACAAAGGCCTTTGTTTGTTGTATTTGTAGAGTGCATTTTTGTGGCATTACTCAACCTTTCGTGCTATTGCTAAAGAGCTTTTAGAATAGCACACTGTGTATATGGACAGAGTCTATGGGGATAAAAGTCATTAATCTAAAAAACAGTCCAAGTAAATTGATGTTTACAGTAACTTCAGATGTTTATACGTGGCAGTATTTAAATATTTGTATCTTTCTCTGCTTTTGATGGACAGGTGAAACCTTCTCAGCTCGTTGATTATTTGCAGCAGAAAAAAACAGAAGGTTACACTATCATCGGTGTGGAGCAGACAGCTAAAAGCTTTGATCTTACAGAATATTGTTTCCCAGAGAAGTCACTGTTACTGTTGGGGTAAGAACACATATTTCTCTGTAAGTCTACCTCTCGCAGTTCATCCTTTCTACCAGAGTTTGGCCATATGAAACCCAAGTGACACTGGTAAAGGTGGGTTTAGAAAAAGCGATTCTGGAAACTGCAGAACTTGGCTTTGTGTGCTGAGAAGTGGCAAGTACTGAGTGATCCTTCTCCTTATACTTAATAACCTATCCATACAAAACTCTTGGGTTTTTTTATGGGTGGAGGTAGCAACAAGATGGATTATAGTTCTTCGGATGTGATGGAGGTGTCATCTGTTCACTTCAGTATCCTGGGGTCCTAGAGCTCAGTGAGGAGCAGGGGCTGCCCGTTTGCCCTGCTGCATTAGTGAGGACTGGGGTGGAACTGAAGGAGCGTGTGTAGCTGGGAGAGGCTTTCAAAATAAACGATGAGACACAGGATGAAGTAGCAAGTTTTTGCAGTACAAGTAGAGGCTGGGATGACTGAGGAGAAAAGCCATAATCAGTTTCTATATAGACAGGCAAGCATCAGGTGTGACAAATCTAGAGAAAAGTGCTAGAAGGCCACTGGAATTACTGGGCCATTGAGTGAGACTGGGAGGAAGGGTCTGCCTGTCAATCATTTTAGGACAAAGTGGGCAGAAATACCTGTTTTTAAAAACTTTTTTGTATGTATCTCATCTTCAGAATGGAGTTCACATAATCGTTTTGTTCTTTTCTAATGAAGAAGTTTTAATTACTGATGACCTTTGGTATCTTCTGGTGTGCTCATTCTGAAGACGTGAAACATTTACATTTCAGGACTTCCCTCTGTCTTGACATTCCCTCATACTGAGACCTTTCTGAATGGGAAGTGGGCAGTTGAGCTTCCCTGCTCTCCCTGCAACTTCATGCCCTGGTCACTTCCTCTACAGCTGGCTGTTTCACTACATAAGGATACTTTTGAAATAAAGACAGGGTGTTCAGCTATTGCTGGACCAGTGAATTAAAGACTTAAGTACTCTAGCACTTTTCCTACATCAAAGCTTAGTCACGTCTCCCATGTTTTCTTTGTATCTGGAATGTATTATGCCTTTTAAAAAAATATAATAGTTTATTGTCCTCACCAGTTACATTGAGGACAGATGCCCCATTTGTATTTTGATGCTGTTGTGACTTTTGCATCTGCTGCTTTCTGGAATACTTTCTGGAACAACTGTCTGATTTTGCCTGATAGAAGTTACTTCTTTACTAGAAACGAACATGAAGGAATCCCAGCAAACCTGATTCACCACCTGGATGTCTGTGTGGAAATTCCTCAGCAGGGTATTATTCGATCCCTCAATGTCCACGTAAGCGGAGCTCTGCTGATTTGGGAGTACACAAGGCAACAAGTGATCAAGCAAAAACAACAAAAATAACTGCCAAGAGTTTCATGCCTTATAGTACAACTGGGAGACTGACTATGGTGCTATGGATCAGAAACTCAGGGTGAATGAGGACTCTTTGACTTCTGCATGTTTTGTTCTCTGTAGTTCAGTCTGACTTTTAAATGCCTTAATACTTTACCTCCTTAAGTAAAACTGTTGTGTTGGAAATAAATATTTATATTGCATGTGGTGTGTGTGATTTTTCTGTTAGAACATCAGCATAGTACCATAAACAATCCCAAACTAAAACACAACATTTTTACTGCAGTAACTTCAAGTGTGGTGACCATGGTTCAAGTTGAAGTGGTGCCTTCCCATAATCTCACTCAAGGCTTACTGTAGCCAGAGTAAAGTATTTAGTACCTCCAGCATCTAGATACACTATGTAATTTTTGCAAGGTGAATTCAGTTACATCAATAAAAACTACCTGTGCTGCCCCATTTGAATGTCTTCCATGGCCAAGCTTACTAATCCTGCGGTAAACAGTCTGTATCTTCAGTGGACTTCAATCATAGTAAATACCTGCCACAATTCTAACAGAGATACCAACTGAAAATTGATTTATATGAAAATTCCTATTACTTATAAAAATATTAGTGTACTCAAAATACGTAAATGACAGACCACATGCATGGCGTGCATTTGGTTTTCTAATGCCTGCTGTACTATAAACTGATGTCTGACATTAAATGTATTTTTAAATACTTGGTAAATAACAAATACAAATTAAAATACAGCACCACATACTTAGGATGAGGGGAAATGGCCTTTTTTTTTTTTTAAGGAAAAACCAGTTCACTTACTGGAAAAACAATTTTATTGTTTCTTTAGAATATGTATATTACAATTAAATAACCATTTATTCCTCTGAAACCATTTGAGTAATTATATGTTCAAGAACTTAATTTGTGAATGCTCCTGCACCAGATTTCTCTGACTCAACAGAAAAGCTGTCCCTGACCACCTTTTTTCAGCAGATGCATGAGACCTTGCACCAAGAGAGGCAGCCTGCATTTCAGGGAGATGGTTGGGTTACCAGTTCTTGAGTTCAAGAAGCTTCTGTCACTTTCTCATGCTTCTTCCTTCCACAGTTGTTCTCACCAGACTTATTTTGAGAGCAGAGTACCTAAGACTTCCCAGCAGCATCTGAAGGATGAAACCCTTCTGTTTCAAGCTTCTTTTTATATTTTAAAAAGTCTCTTCTTTTATCAAAGTATTTAACCTGATTGAAAAGAGAAAAGACGTTCATCAGAAGAAATCAGAAGGGGCTTTGTTCATCACAAGACTAACGAATAAACAGCTTTTGATCACTGAACTTGAGGATTTTAACTGAAGATGCTAGTTAGGAGTTTCTCACTCTGCTGCAGACCAGGCAGGTTGGGGTGTGTTTGGTTCTTCTGTTCTGTGGGTGTTTTTATAATCTTGAAGGTGAACTCCACTTCCCTGTTATAACCACTCCCATTGCTTCCACAGACATCTAATAAAAGTAAACCACGTATTGACTGTTTTCACTGCTGTGAACAGATTATTGGTAACAAAAAGCTAAATGCATCAGTTTTTCTGCAGTCACAGACTATGTGAGTTCTGAATTCATCTAGAGCCACTGATGTGTTTGGTGCAAAGCACTAGCAGATGCAACCACCACTACTAGAGATGAGAGAACTGCAGTGCTGAAAGTCTAAGTCAGCACAGCAACTGTGGACCTGTTTGGTTTTTTTAACTGACTTCAGTTTGCCAGCTCCAACAGGAGCTGTTCAGCTCCTCAGTCACCACTGTTACTAAACAACAACGCTTTAAAAACTGTCGCTTCATCTCAGAAAACTAAAAAGCACACAGGAATGTGTGTTAGCAGGTTGCTGACTATGAAATTACGCTGCACGAAGAAGGGTACTTTTACATGCACAAGAACTCGCTGGACGCCAGCCCGAAAGTGCCACACAGTGCGAGGCCTGTGCCACCCCTTCCGTAGGAGCCTTCTTCCTTCAGCAGTCCCTGTGCGCTTCTAAAAGCTTCCAACTACCTCTCACAACTTTGTAAATAACTAAACACGAGGCCTGCGTGCTTGCACAGCAGCGAATTCAAGTGGAAGTCTGAGATGGCATTTTCCTTTCCCTCTATACGACTTTCGGTCATTCCCGGGCCAGTCAGGGCGGGCTCGGGAGTGTTTAACTTGCCAGCCGGGCTGACGAAAGGCAAACCCGGCCTGAGGAGGCCGCAGGGTGTCTGTGAGCACCGGGCCGCAGCAGCACCCGCTGCTGCCCTCGCCGCCGAGCGAACGGGCCCGCACAGCCCCGCGGGCGCGG